CCTCCGTAAATCTATATTTGAGAGATATGAGAGATAAACTCCATAACCTAAACCCTTAAGTTCTTTCACAATGTGAGAGAGAAAGATCAAACACTCCTTTTTGGGATATGCGAGAGAAAGATGAGAATTAGGTATAGAGATTTTTTGGTAGAGACAATCTTTTTTTATAGGTTTTGAATAAGATTAGGGTTTTTTAGGATTTTCCTTAGCTTACCTCTTATTGTGAGATTGAACATAGATCGTCGATCAATGGTGACTTGTGGGGTGAGATCTGAGTCATCTATTCCATAGATGGGCCATCAACATTATGGAAGGTGCATGAACCATTATCTTCATTTCCAAAACCATTTTTCCATCAATTTATTTAAATAAAATAAATATCATGCATTCTATAAAATTAAACGATCCATGTCACATATTTCATAAGGATATGTCAAATAATATCAAGTAGATAAATACTACCAAATATAAATAAGATAATATCTATATCAATTCAAATGGATCATATCTCTTTAAAACAAACTTGCTACAAAATAGATAAAGCTATGGTCAATATATCCCTTCCAAGATTTGATCACATGCCACAAATCAAACTAACATTATCTTAAAAGCAAACAAGAGAATCCAAATAGGGTGGGACGTGTCACCCTTTTGTGGCACATGTGGGCCCCCACCCCACATGCCACATGGTGGGCCTATATGCACTATAGGCCCCCATGAAATATTATAAAAAAAATATATATTATTAAAATTGAATAAAATAATTTAAAATATATATTTGAATTTGTAAAACTTTGTAAAAACAATAACTGTGTTTTTATAAGTCCAAAAATCACAAATAAAATATTGAGAGATTCATAAAAATTCAAATAATAAAACTAAAATCATTTCAATAATAAAATGAACACAATTAAATTAATATGATGGGAAAAGGATCCATATGGTTTTAGGAATCCAATCTGTAATAACGGGGTACTCCACCTTCAACTGTGGGCTACCGACCACACTAGATTTATCGAATCGACCCAGTGTTTCCCATGACCCACAGTCCAGGCAGGGGCTCATTAGCGGGTCACCAAAGTCAAATCGATAAATCAAAGGGTCGCAATTCCAGTCTGTCGATTACAGGTCCTCCCCTAGACATGAGTCAATGTCACCACGACCTGATGCGACTACAGCTCTATGGCGCATATGGGTATCTCTCGCACATGCATACGCTTCACCCAAAGGTAGATATCTGGCTATCCCGAACGATCTATCAATATGCATGCCGTGTGATGGAACATGGATGAGATTTTGGCCCCCGTTTCAATAGGCCACCATCACACACCAGGGTCACACAGTTCCTCGGCTCATTCATCCGGGCATGTTCTCCAACCTCATCAAGGGCTAACCCATAAACCCTCATCGGTTTGTTCTTCATGCCTAGGTAACATGGGTTTTTTCCAACCGACTAGCCTAAATCGTTAAGCACAAATCGGTATCAACAAACCATTGTTTGCTTAGTATGGTCCACGAGGGACCACACTCCCACTAAGTTCATGTTCCACTATATCATTTTATTTTACAAACACTCATAAGGCCTTTAAAGGCCACATAAACCCAACACTCTTTACTTATTCTTCATTTCTTGGCCATTATCTCTAAAACATGAGATAATTCCTACTTCCGTAGGATGATTAGGTCGTTCACCTATTAGTCCCTTGCTCAAACTTTGGTTTGAACTGTTAAAACAAAAAAGGGAAAATTGCATAAAACCTATGGATTTTATAATCAATTTACCCTCAACCTAACTTTTCCTAGTAACTTTTTCAAAAGCTATGTTTTGTAGCAAATACCCCAAATATAAAAAGTTTATTTTTTTTTGACGTAAGTACCATTCCCATACATAAAAAATCATTTTCGGATCCCAATAAAAGGAAACGCCACACCATATTTGTAAAACGCCGGACTGCCTCACTCCAAAACGTCGGACCGCCACTTTAAAACGTCAGACTGCCCCTTCAAAATGCGTACCGCCACTTAAAAACACCGGACTGTCCCTTCAAAATATCGGAACGCAAACGTCAGATATACCCCCAATACAAAAAGTTCATTTTCTTTTTACGAAACTACCATTCCCATACTATAACAAATCATTTTAGCCAGACCGCATTTGTAAAACGCCGGATTGCCTCACTCCAAAACGGCAGACCGCTCCAAAACACCGGACCGCCACTTTAAAATGTCGGACTGCACCTTCAAAATACGTATCGCCAATTTAAAACGTCAAACTGTCCCTTTAAAATGTTGGACAGTAAATGTCGAAAATACCCCCAATACAAAAAGTTCATTTTTCTTTGACGAAAGTACCATTCCCATACGTAACAAATCATTTTCAGATCTCAATAAAAGGAAACGCCAGACCGCATTTGTAAAACGCCAGGCTGCCTCACTCCAAAACTCTGGACGGCCACTTTAAAATGTCGGACTGCCCCTTCAAAATGCGTACCGCCACTTTAAAACGCCGGACTGTCCCTTCAAAATTTCAGACTGCAAACGTCGGAATGCTCATTTCTCCAATAAAATAATCCTCAGACTGTCACAATTAAGCACCGGACCACCCATTCCAGCAAAATAATAGCAGGACCGTCTCTTCTAAACGGTTGACAGCCCTCTCAAATGAAAATGATTTGTTATGTAAGGGAAGGGTATTTTCGTCAAAAAAATAAACCTTTTGTATTTGGGATATTTGCTAGGAAATATCGTTTTTTGGGGGAAGTTGCTAAGAAAGTTAGGTTGGGGGTAAATTGCTTAGAAAGTCTCTTTTTAGGGTTTTTTTTTTTTGTAATTTTTCCAACAAAACATGCTCCCCAATGAGCACATAAATATATATATATTCCTTGTTTAGGATGTTAGTCCATAGTTTTTAGATTTTTCTTTATTTTTCATGAGTGACTTTGATGTGTGTTTATTTTTGTGGTCGAGAGGCTAATAAAAACTCTTCTTCCACATACTATGGAAGCCAACGGCTATACAATAAGTTAGCTCTAGTGACAATTATCATTATCGTGATATTTATTGTTGACAATTTTACCGGGATATTATTGGTTGTTCCTTTTTTTTGGGTATTTATCAAAACTCTATCTAACATTAAATTTATTGAAATTAAATATTATTATGAAAAATATGTACTTACATTATTCTTTAACAAGTTCTTTAAATCTAGCTCTATGAAGATTTGCGTAATTTGTGAATAGCGAGTAATAGTGAGGATTTCAAAAACTCTCTTTATCTGATCAGGTAGCAATTTGTCAATCTGTCAGGAACTGGCATTTGCTTTGATTTTGCAAGTCTCTTTCTGTTTATTAGTTAGTATGCGAATAAATATTGCAGGAAAACAATCGCTAGCCATTTCAACAAGACGTTGTTCCAAAATTCAAAATTTAGACAATTCTTAGTTATTGATTTCTTATTTTCTAAAATTAAAATAGTCTATGCAATTTTTGGGGTTCTTCCAAATTTATACCTTTAAAAAATGATAACAATTAGGAGAAGGCAAGTGATACTTTACAAATTAAAAAGTTTATTTTTTAGTTGATCGTTTTCATAATAATTTCCAATGCTATATATTATTATTATATAAATAATATCTTCTAGACCCATATTATCGAGATAAATTAAATTTATCGGGATAACCCTTACTTTTATTGTGGAAAAATCATGGTAAATTCAATTTACAGCCGACAAATATAATTAAAAAGTTACGGCTTCCAAACGATATCAATTAATGTTATTTTGAAGCCATTACTTCAGGTTACCTCTAAAATAACATTGCACTTCACACCAACAAGCATAAAAAATATTATAGATACGGTGTCCGCAAAACAAACACAAGGTTCTCTATATCCCATCCCTCTTTCTATTGTGTTCACCCCTCTCTCATTTTTTCACCATCTCTACTATCACCTTTGGTGCTAACTATCTCTCTAGAAGTTGCCTAGTGCACAGACACATAGGTAAACAACAAATATGGGTGGTATGTCAATTATGTTAAAAATGGGTTTACGACAAGGTGGTCAGAGCGGCGGGGTGCCACAATATCACATCTTGAATTTCATATTTATCATAGTTGATGAATTTTTTTGTTGTTAAAATGCATGTTTACATATAGAATTTGAAATTTGAGACGAATCTGACTACTTAAAACCCACCGTTTCTTGATTTATATCTAAATTTTCAATTTAAATTTTTATGGAAAATTTGTCTCAAAAAAAATCTTTTCTTCAAATTTTTGTTAGCCGACTCAGCTTAGATCCGCATAAAACCAAAATAAATGTTTACAAATTAGGGAAAACAAGAGGAGGCCATTTGAAACGCTTTTAGGGAAAAGAAGAGCAAATAATAAGGAGAAAAGTTTCCCCGATCTAGGATTATCATGAAACTATGGGGAGGTTTTGCCTAGGATTTTTCTTGTAGGACTTTTATAAGCCAAAAAGTTGCCATATCATCAAACCGAAGTATTTTGGTCGATCCGGATTATTGTGGTCCAGGCCCTTATTGGTCCAAACATATGCAATAGTTTTTAGGATTCTTGATTTGGTGAGATTTTATGAGAACAAATCCGTTTAAGTTTCTCGTTAAGTAGTTTGTAATATTTTCTATCCTTCAGGACCGATTTATTTGGGTTCCAGTTTCTTACAGGTTCTATGATATATATACGGCTGGACTATGGTTTAGGTGTGGACTATAGTTTAGTTTTTTTTTATTAGAATAGTGTGGTTTAGGGTTTAGGAACTCAGAAAAAAACCTGACTTTTAAAAAACAAAAAAAAAATTCACCACGTGGAAGAATTAAAAAGACGGGTGGATTAGTAAAGTTGGGATTCACGTGCGATCGTATCCATGTTTGAATCTGGATTAAAGGGTATTACCGAAATTATCTTGGAAACGGGACCATTTGGTAATAATGATATAAATCCAATGCAGAGATCCTTTCATGTATCTGTTTTAAGAGTTCGAAATTCTCTCACTCGGTTCTCTCCTCAGCAACGGTTTGGTTCTAACTTAAATTCATGGCTTAAAAAAGGGAGCGATAAAAAGGGGAGTGAGAGTGAGAGAGGAGATTTTTGAAGGCCATTTTTGGGGCTAATTTGATGCAGAGATGGCGAATGTTGAGTTGTTGTTGTATCAGATCTTTGAGAGGGAAAAATGGCTACTATCTCAGCTTGAGCAGCAGCAGAAACTGTTCACTCAAGCTATGGCCTCCTCTTTGTTTCTCAAGGGGATTAAGCCACCTTCTTGGCTTCTTAATGGTGAATCATGGACTGCCAATAAAGATCCAAAAGGTATTTCTGTTTCCCATTTTTCTTTGTTTCTTTGTACTTTGTTTTTCAGTTTTTTCATGGTGGGTTCTCGTTACAGCTTTGCATGGTTAGAGAAAAAGTGGGTTTATAAGCATTTCTATTTGGTTTTCTCCAGATTATTATGGACATGCTTGGGGAATTTTGGCCATTTTTTCTGAAAACTTTTAGGGTTTTTGGGTATTGCTCTGGATCATTGGTATTCTGTGTTTGTTGGGATTTCTTGAGACACCATAAGGTTTCGAAGTTTTTTAAATTGATTAGCTTTCAATTTCGCTGAAATGTTAAGGGGTTTGCGGCAATTATTGATGTTTTCGATCATTTTTTATGGTTTCTAGGGTTTCATGGAATTTGCGGCTGTATACATTTCCAAAATGAAAGTCGTTGGGGCTTGAGCCATTTCTGAGATTTTTTCTCTGATTTCTCTGAACAGCAATTATTGATGTTTTCGATCATTTTTTATGGTTTCTAGGGTTTCATGGAATTTGCGGCTCTATACATTTCCAAAATGAAAGTCGTTGGGGCTTGAGCCATTTCTGAGATTTTTGCTCTGATTTCTCTGAACAGCAATTATTGATGTTTTCAATCATTTTTTATGGTTTCTAGGGTTTCATGGAATTTGCGGCTCTATACATTTCCAAAATGAAAGTCGTTGGGGCTTGAGCCATTTCTGAGATTTTTCCTCTGATTTCTCTGAATTCTATTGTTTATCAGTTTTTCACGATATAAATCATTATTTTATATTTTTCTATAGTCCTGCTAGTTGCTGAATTTTCGACGGTATTGAAGAAATGTAGCCATGGCAGTTGATCCACGATTTTTTTATCTGCTATTCTTCATTTTCATGGCAGTATCCTTTCTCTGTCTAAAATTCTTCAGGCAGTCCTTGTTGTTTTACACTATATTACTGTACAAGCGAACTAAAGATCATAAATGATCTTGCATGGAAAATGCCAAATTATTCAGGGAACTTCGGGATTTTATTCAGCCATATGCCACCTTGAGTTCCTTGTGATATTGTATTTCCTTTTCCTCATTGAAGTTTCTGAATTATGGTTATTTTCTGTAATATGCAACTATAAACCATGAAGTAAATTAAATTTTATCAACTTGATTCATTCCACCATCTAGTTGTTCAATGCCCTTCATTGTCTTAGTCTTCTTGCATTGTGGCTATCCAGGACATTTGTATGGTCAAATTAATTTACAGATGGAATTCCATTTCCTAGATTGAGCAGTTCAAAACTAGATCTTTAATTTACCTACTATGAATTTATTCTGTAAGAATTAAGTTAACATTCTCAAAGAAAATTTATTCCGTAAGAATTAATTTGCAATATAGAACTCAAATATCTGAACCTTCTATTTTCTCTCTCCCTTTGTCTCTATGTTGTATTTTTATCTCTCCAGTTTACTTCTTTTGCATTTCTTTGAAAAAATTGACACTCTTTCTCTTAGTTCCTGTATTTTCATTCAAAAGCATATGTCAGCAACTTTTTTTTTTTGAGAAAGAGACTATTAGAATATAAGTAAAAATAGTCGTTGTTAAACTGGTATATCCAAACCATTTATTGTCACATTGTATCCTGTTTCTAGTCTATCTTTACTAATTCTGTGAACCTTCCAGTTGTATAACTCTATGACCTAGCATGTTTGATTTTGCAGACCCACATTCTTTTGTTAACTTCAAATTAAAAGTTGTTTGTGGCTTTATTATCTTAAGAACACTTCTTAGTTTGCCAAAGAATTATTTCTTTTTTCACTTGGATAAGTTGGAAACTCAATTGTTGTGTTGTTTTTCTTTTCTGATTATTCTGAAAATTTGTCAGAGTTAAACAGTGAAGATCTGATACCAGGCCTTCTTTTCCCACCTCCAAAGCCCAATGTGTTCTTTCCATCCATGAACCATTATGCCTATCAAAGCAGGCCATTTAGCATGGCAGACCATGGGCAATTTACAGAAACTTGCGATTCAAATAGAGGTGGCTCAAATATCAAACAAAGCCAAGTGGATGCCAGAACTCAACTACCAGAAAGTGAAAATTTACAAGAACTCTCAAGAAGTGGTCCTAAAAACCCTAGGAATTCTCCTTTTCAGATCATGAAAGACCCAACTTTTGACAGTTGTGTGATACCTGAAACCCCACTGGAAAGGATCACAAGGTCTAGATCAAGGCAACGGGCACTGGAGATTAGAAACAGTGTGAATGCTAAATCTAAGAATCGAACCAGTGTGGCTTCTATAGGCACAACGGGATACACAAGTAGGATGACTAGGTATAGATCAGCTCTGCAGAAGATAGAAGGCCAGGATAAGAGAGCAAGTTTAGCAGCAACAGAGACCCAATTGGCCATTCAACTACCTGAGCCTAAAGAGGGAAGGATCACAAGGTCTAGATCAAGGCAACGTGCCCTGGAGATTAGAAACAGTGTGAAAGCTAAATCCAAGAATCAAACCAGTGTTTCTTCTACTGGCACAATGGGATACACTGGTAGGATGACTCGGTATAGATCAGCTCTGCAGAAGATAGAATGCGAGGATAAAATAGCAAGTCTAGCAGCAACAGAAACCCAATTGGCCATTCAACCACCAGAGCTTAAAAAGGGGGTCTCACTTTCACATGTGAGTAACTCTTTAAAATCCAAACAGAAGACCCATCATGATTGTTCTATTAATGCTGATCATGGAACAAAGTTTGAGGTAATGAAACAAATGGGATGTGGAGCTTCACTTTCTAGGCCTGAACTGAAGAATGAACCAGAGCTTCAAGCCCAAGGAGAAGAGGTTTCGAGGAGGAGTCTATCCAACTCAAGTGAACCAATTGTCTGTGGACTGGATTACCTGGTTGAACCTAAACAATTGGTATTTGATGACTTGGCGGAATGCAGTTTGAGCCAGGCTGGCATTCGATTAGAGGGCCGGGATGAAGAGATTAAGCTTGAGGCTTCAGTTACATTCAGTGTCAAGAGCACTTCAAGTGCTGGAAAAGAAACCCATTCCTCTAGTAATGCCAATGATGAAGAAAAATCTAAGGTTCCAAAACCAGTAGAATGGAGAAATTTCTGTGAGTCTGGGCATGAGCTGAAGAAAAATTCAAAATTTCAAGCTAATGGGTCAGAGGGTTCATGGAGGAATATATCAAACCCAAATGAACGAACTCGTAATAATGCAGACTTCTCAGCTGAATCTAAACAACTGGCTTGTGCTGACTTGCACGAGTGCAGTTTGAACCAGAATTGCTCTTTCTCAGAGGGCAGTGCGCCAGAGATTTTGCAGTTGGGAACTCCAAACAGGAAGGTTCCAGAAGAGATGCAGACGATTGGGCTACAAAGAGCAGAATCCTGGGGAGTTCCACAGAAAGAACAGTCTGAAGCATTATCCAAAACTGTTGAAGTCCAAGGAGCCCTGTCCATTGATGTTGCTGCCACACCGGCGGATCAAAAAGTATTTGAGTCCAAGAAGAAAGCGCCTGGTAATGTTCAAACTTGTGCTACTGCTCCATCGGATCTTAAGTTTGAGGTTTTAGTTACATCGGAGAACATTTCAAATAGTAGAAAGAAACGTTTTTCTGCAGCTTCTGCTAGTTCTCCGAGAGCAAAACTTGTAGTTCCCGAACCAGCGGGTTTTAGAACTTTGCGTTCCGGGTTTGAACTGAAGGAAAAAGCAGTCCTTCAAGATAAAGGAGATGAGATTTATGGTTGGAATTTATTTACTTCAAATGAAGCAACTGGGCATAGACCTGATTCCTTGGCTGAGCATGAACAACAGATATATGGGGGCTTGGAAGCTTCTTGTTTGAACCAGGCAGGCTCCTTCTCAGAAGGTTGGGAGCAAGAGTTTGTGAATGTGGGATCTTTAAAGAGGAAGTTTTTAGAAGAGGATCAAATGATCGGATTACAGAGAACTGAAACCATGGGGTCTTCCAAAAAAGTTCTGTCTGAATTGTTACCCAAATCTGTTGGACTCAAAGGGGTCCTGTCCTTGAATGTTTCTGCCACATCAGAAGAGGGTAAATTATCTGAAACACTGAAGAGAACTTCTTGTTCTGCTCAAATTTTAGTAGACAATGAAGCATCATGGCCTCAGTATAAGAGAAGGAAGAGAGAGAAAGAGCGAATGAAGGGCTTTATAACTTCACCAAGATTGAGAAGGTCTAGAGGGAGAGTTTTTTCACAGTTGCAGTCAGCTTGCTTGAACTTTCCAGCTAAGCTGTAAGTTTTTCTCTTTATTTTTTTCTTTTATGCTTTCCTTTTATATTTGCTTCACTTTTCTTTTCATGTGTATTTTTGTTTCATATTATTAAATTTTTTATTTATGTTTTGGCGATACCGCTCAATATTTCTTGTTTTATTTTTTCTTTTGGAAGTTTGAATTAGATTTTCCATTTTATGGTTGAAGTTGCCAAGCTGTGTTTTTTTTTAGTTCTTTTTTGTGGGGTTGAATGAATTAGGTGCACTAAGGACTATGTAGGTCTTTTTCCTCTAAACAATTCTTTAATAGTTTCCTAATGATGTATTACTTGCTTTAGTGCTTTTCTCTAAAGAAAAGCAAAAAGTGTATACTTTCTAATTTCCTTTATCTCATTTGTATACTTTCTATTTTCCTTTATCTCATTGCAGTTTGGTTGTTTGAAACATATGTAGGCCATTTGTTCGTTATGCATGTGGAAAGGATTCTTTCTTCTATTTTACTTTGACTAAAGGTTAAGCCAAAAATGTAAATGATTTCATTGGTCATATACTCAGAGGAGTAGGTAAAACCCATATTGGGTTATTAGTGTCCATTGAAACAATGGATCGAGATGGTGGGGGGAAGGATCCTCCAGTAAAGGACATGGCTGTAACGATGGGTACTACTCTCAGCATCTCCAGCCATCATTTCATTGTATTTTCCTTACATCAACCTGTGAAAAAGCACACATGGATGCACAAAGTTATCTTATATCTAACAATTTTAAGGTGCTATATCTTTCCAGGAAAGCGATTTGGAGGAAAGGAGTTCCCCACAGTGTGAAAATGGTTCCCTTGATGCTGATGAGGCCATACCCGAGCTTGAAGGGTTCAGCTTTGTGGAGCCCCTGGAAAATGGAGAGTTTGAAATGCCGAACTCTAAAAGAGCACGAATTAGTTCTATCGAGCTGCGTAATTCTACCAGCTTCCTTACCCCATTGCCTAAATCTCATACACCAGAGGTTTGCCAGTCCTTACCTAATGGGCTTTTGGAGCACATGTACTTAAGAAATGGATATGCCCATTTGTATAACTGTGACGAGCAAGTTTGTGAAACTGATGAGGTGATGCTTGACAGTAAACCATGTGCAGCAAGGTCCACCTCATTGGGTAGGTCTGATCCTTATCGTATTTCATCTTCAAGTTCACGATTCGGGTGGAATGTCAAGAGCCCAGCTTCTTCCACTCCTTCAGTTGGAAGAATTTCTAGTAAAGACCTTTCTATGTCCATAAGTAAAAGCGCAGAAAGAATAGTTGGTATGAAACCTTCTACGTGTTTTAGAATTGAAGAAGAAACCAGTACTGGTGAACAGGATGTTCAAGTTGTTGAGGATTCGGAGAGAACCCATAAACGGATTAAGTCAAGAGAGAGAAAGGATTCAAGTGATCGTAAGCCACTTCAAGATATTACATCAATATCTTGTAATTCTTCAATTTTGACCCCGGCAGCGAAGTGTTTTGGCAGATTTTGTGTGGACTTTGTTGATAGGGGATCTAACTTTATTGGGCAGCAAATGGAGGAGAACCAAGAGCTCAGGAAGGGTAAAGACGGTCATAAGAAAATCTCTATAGCAGACAAGGAGAACACAAACTCTTTGCAACATAGATATAGCACACGGAATTCCTCAAGCATCTTGCAAAATGAGTCTGGTAAGTCAAAATTGGCAACTCGCTCAAGTGAAGGAATAGGAAGTGAGATTTTACAAGAAAAGCATAGTAAGCGTAACAATATTGTATCAAGCATCTCCTCGTTTATTTCACTTGTCCAGCAAAAGCAAACAGCACCTGCAATTTTGACAGGTAAGTTGATTTCTTTTTTATTTTGATGAATGGGGTAGTTTATTTCTTCTCTGCGATGTGATTATATATTTGTTTGTGGCCTTGGTGATATTGTTTTGTTAATTTTTGTACCTAACTCTCTGCTTGCAACAGGTTAACAATGTTATCCCATAATTTTAGTTTCGAATAGGATTACCCCTTTACTTGGTTTTGGCCAATATTTTTGGAAAGAGTTATTTTTTTCTTTTTCTTTTTTTCCTTCCCCCCATCTTCTTAATTGTAAAGGAGGTTCAAAAAGCGGCATTTTAAACGTGGGAAAAGTTTATTTAAGGTGTGAACCTTATACTGTAGAATAAGGTTCACCTCAAGGATCCATCAGAAAAGGTTGTTACGACATTGGAAAACCCTATAACTTATCATCTCGACATCTCATCATCTCGACCTTGAGATGTATGGTATCAAACAAATAGGATTTTATGTCTTAAAAATAGTGCAACTTGAAATACAATATCAAGACGTATGGTATCGAAAAAAAGGATTTTATTTCTTAAAAATAGTGCAACTTGAAATACAATATCTGGACTCTCCATTTTCATAGTTTTTAAATGTTTATAGATCTGCTTGATCTACATCATTTTTGGATCTTTAAATTCCATAATTAGGGGTGAACATTGATTTTTAGGCCACCATAAGAGTTTTCAGCATTCAAATTACATCTTTTAGCAAGATTTAGAGGTTCACCTTATTTTGATTTTCTAAGGTTGACAATTTATACAAACCGCACCCTTTTAAAGATTCTCGTTATGCTGTAAGGGCCTGGCAAACAGGATTTGCCATTGGCGGTAGGGCAGCATTGGCGAAATAGGGAAATTGCGGATTAACTCATTTATTGCACAGCTTTCCTTTACCAATCAATCTATACTTGTGTGGCAAAACTTGATGTTACTAGAGGTGGGATTGGATACAAAGCATCCAAGGATTATCACTAAATAATGGAAATGACTGTGTAAAGTCAATAATTTTAATGTTGATAGATGAGACCTGAAGAAATTGTTCTTGTCAGGGGACCATAAGAAGATAACAGAAATTACAAGCTTTATGTGGTTTGAGGGAATTATTGTGAAGTTTTATTTTCTTAAATTTTTTAATCATCAAGATTAAATTTTATAAGTAAAATAAAAATATTCTGAAATTTATGGTTATCATTTGCTTTATCCTTGCTCAGCCCATTTATATCAAGAATGCCAATTTGTTAGGCTAGAATGAGGCTCTTACATGTGTGTTTAATGAAGTTGAGAACTAGGAATTGGGCTTGGGTTTGAGAGATTGGTAGTTGATATTAGTGACACTACATCTCAAGTTTGATTCCTACAACTGAAATACCCTACCAAAAAAAAAAAGAGTTAGAGAACTATAATACTGAAATGCTTTACGAAGAACTCATTGTCTGATTAAAATCAGAAGAAGTGTAGAAACAAAAGACAAAAATTATATGAGAAAGGCAAAGGAAAGAAACAAAGCACTGATGAAACGGTTGATAAATGCTTATGAGAAAGGGGGGTGTCCTCGCCTCAACCAACCCTTGATTGTATGAGAGGTTTGCATTGGTTTTATTATCAGGTAAGAGGGACATTAAAGTGAAGGCTCTAGAGGCTGCTGAGGCTGCAAAAAGGTTGGAAGAACAGAAGGAGAATGAGCGTAAATTGAGGAAAGAAGCTGCTAGGCTAGAAAGGACAAAGATTGAGCAGGAGAATCTCAAAACAAAGGAGGAGAAACTGAAGAAGCTTGAGGAGGATAGGAAGAGGAGGGAAGCTGAAGCAGCTGCCAAAAAACGACAGAGAGAAGAAGATGAAAGGAGAGAAAGAGAGAGAAAACGGAAGTGCATTGAAGATGCTCAGAGGCAGAGGAGAGAATTTGAAGAGAGGTTGCGGTTAGAAAAAGAGGACAAGGAGCAAAAACGCAAAGCTATGGTATTTCTTTTATTCTTTCCAGAAAGGATTTTATATTGCAAACTTTCTGTAATATATGTGATTTTGGTAAAATCTTTTGGTAATAAATTTGTCGATATGAAATTATCAAAAATAATAATTTTATGATTAAAATACTTGTTTTGTGTAGGAAGAGAAGGAACACAAAAGAAAAGAATTGGCTGCAGGGGCAAAGAAACGACAGAGGATGGAAAAGGAAAGAGAAATGACCGCTCGCAAGAAGAGGGAACTGGAAACTAAGGGTAGAAAGACTTCAAAAGTAGACAGCAGGCATACAAGTAGTGTATCTGGGAATCTCAACTTTTTCCTTGAGCCGCCTGGCATTGGAGAGGTAACATATTGTTGTCTAAACCCGAACTAAAACCGTGAATGTGTTACCTTATGAAGCTTTAACTAAATCTGTGACCCCCTAATGCTTAAGGCATTTACGCTAAGTAGTAACTATGTTTGTGAAACACTTCTTTCCTGTGCTTGAAAATTAAAATTGTCTCTTGGTTGTAAAAATTTAATTGTGGTAGCTAATATCATATAACTTTGTTTCATTTTCTATTGATAAATTCAGAGATTTTGTTTGAGGTATATGGCTTATGTTGAAGGACATTTTCCGTTTTTTTTTAGCAACTCAGAGAATAACTTAGTTTTGAAAAAGTTTTGAGACTTCTAAGTTGTGTTATTCGTGATATCTGCCAATCATCTTATTAACATAAGCTGGTTGGAAACTTCTTAGTTTGCCCAATTCATACCAAGTCATATTTCTAAGGCACTACTGCAAATATTAATTTCAGACAAACTGCTATAAACTTCTCTTGATGGGCAACTTTGGGATCGCCTGTATTGACTGGCTTGTCATTTCTGTCCAGATCGCAACTACTTTAAATGGTTTAGGTACTACGAGTAAGGATGACACTTTTAACAAAGAAGAACTGAATGTTTCCGCGTCATATGAGATCACACCTTACAAGGACTCAGACTGTGAAGAAGATGATGAAGAAGAAGAAGACAATTATCCAAGGAAACATATACCCTCTTGGGCCAGGTGAAGAATAGGATCATCCCTTTTCTTTTTTCCTTTTTTTGGGTGTTTTTTTTTTCTTTTTTGGGGTTTTTTTGGGGGTTGAGAGGGGGAGAGAGAGGTGGCTATTTTCAAGCTTATTTGAAATTCTTGGTATATCTTCTACATATGCCAAATCACAGTTGAAGCCTGGGACATGTGGCATTCAAGTAGACCTGGGCCTTAGGGAGAGATAGGCTTTAGGGTAGGCTACCTATTAAAAGGACCTCTCCAACTCACCAAGTGGGAATTTAGAGCAATGTACCTCCTAATCCAATTTAATCCCTATCCCTTTATATACTAAAGGAAACTCTAATTGTAATAAGTAATAAGAAATAAGTAATTGAAATATGTAATAAGAATTCTAACTGTAAAGGAAACTCTTCTTTGAAGGATAATTATCTCCTATTACCAAGGTAATTATCTTCGTTGGAAAAATCATCCTTTGTTACCAAATTTGAGGCATTCTGTTTTTGGGAAATAAATTATTTATATATGCTTTTACAATCTGGAGATTGTAATCCCCGTAAAGAGACGTGCATGGCACCTGCCTCTTGCTAATATATAGTGCTTTGGGTATGGTGTTTGGTGTTTATATTGATTGAGAATGTTACCCTGGTATGGCAGGAAAGAGAACGTGAATCTGATGGTTATCAAACAGCAGAATACAGACCCAGATAAAATATTTCTTCGTGCTAAATGTGGGGATTTGAGTGAAGGTAATTTCTATTTGATTTTTAATTTCCTACTAAAGAAATCTGCGGCTTCTTGTGTCCGGAATTTATTTGGTGGTAGTATATTATAATCCAATTGACTAGTTATTGAGGTAAACTCATAATCCATTATCGCCATAACCTTGATGGACATTTATAAAGAGTGAGTGAGAACCATCAGAAAAGGATGTGGCCCAAAGTTTGGTCCCTCTCTTTTCATGACCATCCACTATTTTAATGTGGTGATAACCCCAATGAACAATGGTTTTCTTTTGTTATTGCATTTATATTACATTCTTATGTTTCTAAGGTTTGTCTTGATTCTATTCAAATGGCCACATAAATTAGCAGATGAATGTCTTCATTTTCATTTGTAGTTTATGGGAGTCGTCGGATCAGCACTTGGAGTGAATTCAGTGATCATGATGAAGATGGTGATTACTGAGCAGAAGCAAGAGCAGTTATAAAAGTTCATGATGCAAGTTGACAATGCTGGGTAATATGCCATTTTTGGCCTATCGTAGGTAACCTATTGAGAGGATTTTGTGTTGTATTGGCTTTATTTTGTCATTTGTTTTATTTCAAGATTGAATGAAAGAACTGATGACTACTAATTATCAGATATGTAAGAATAAACTGAAAAAAATATGGGGATTTAATGGAAGATGCTACCATGGATTAAAAGGATAAATATCAGGGAAACCTAAGATTGCTGGTGCATGGTGCTGCAAATGATATACTTTAAAAAGTTATGGGGGGGGCCATCAAATTTATTTAGTCCAGTCCAGTCCAGTTTACAACACCGATAATTATCATGTATGAAATTATTTTTGTTGATATTCTTCTTAATTTGTAGGAATTTCGTTGATAAGCAAGCTTTTTTGTACTAGCAAGATGAGGGCTTGAAGACTGATCGTTGTATTTCCCTTGGTAATATTATCTTGCGCAGAATGTCAGGTCAGTTTTGTAAATCTGTTACTGTTATTAAAATTTCCATTAATGGCAAAGCTGGCCCTTGTTTGTCACTCAAAGAGCTATTAAGGGTTCCACTTACTCCATAACAATATCTTATTGAGCACTTTCGGTTACGGTTTTCTAGTTTTGTGGCATCAAATCCAAAAAGACTCCCGGTGAAGTTTTAGCTATGTGGTTTGTATGGGTTTTTTATTTAAGTTATAATATTAATGACAATATTGTATGAATCAACCTCATCAGGATGAGACCGGCAATTGAACTAGTGAAGACGTTGGTCCGATTCAAACTGGTTCGACCGATGGTCTGACCAGTTAAATAATTTTTAAAAATGCATATAAAAATAAAAAATAATCAAATGATCCTAGTGAAGGAAAAATGATTATTTTTAAATTTATCAAATCTTTTTCATATTTATGATCTTCATTGTCTAGACTACCAACGTTTAAACTTTGGATCCAAAATCTATCTTTAAGTTGAAATATGGAGAGGACTTGGAAGAATAATTAGGAGTGTGTAGTTCTTTCTCCCTCTCTCTCTCTAAGTGAAGTCATGTTAATTATGGATTAATGATAGTAGTTATCTTTTATTCTCTCTCTAAATGTAATGTATGTGGATAGTTATTATTAGTGGAAAGTTATTTTAAACTGGACAATAGTTATTTTCCAATGGGTGGTTCGTAAACCGTTTGTAAAACCTATAAATAGGCACAAGCTAATCCAAAGAGTGTGCATAAGCCTTTGAGCTATAACATCTTCACTTTAACCTTTGTCGTTGTCTCTGTCTCTGTCGCTTTATCTTGTGTATATTGAGTTATTCCTTGTGTTTTTTGAAACTTAAAAGAGTATTATAACATTGTAGTAGCAGCTACGTATTTTAAATAAAACCAAAAGAATCTTGCAAGATATGAAGCATGAGCAATAAAATATAACCTGAGTCTATTGTCATCAACATCCCACTATTGCAATGAGAAAGAAACTGATATTTTATGGAAGAACAAGATACATTTAAAATCTTGTATCACTTTATCCCACATCCAGTAGATTACGAATGAATTATCTTGTAGCGTTTTCACAAAACCATTGTTGGAAGAGGAGTTTGCTCACTTTAGATGAATAATTGGGATTAGAAATTTTGCCATTAAAGAGGATTGTCAAATATAATGCCAAAAATTGTGTTGTTTTATTATGTTGTTTCTCTCTCGTAAACATAAGCCTTACGAGAGATTTTAAAATGGGATTTTATACTGACCAATTATATTTGATACAAATAGGCTAAAGGCACTTTTAGATGTGAAATTTAACAATCTGGGGTGTGCCACAAATCTCAAAAGAAAAAATAGAAATTTTGAGCATGGTCTATGATACACGCCCAATCACCCGATTTCACATATTAATGGAAACAGTTTTATTATATACATTTCTTGCATCTCACTTAATGTGTGCCGAGCGCATTTTAGAAGTACTTAGCTTTCCTCTATGGGTGCAAGCTAGTGTTCAGGTGTAACAAACAATAATGTACATGCTTAACTGTAACAATGAGAAGAAGCGGGGATTCTATCCAATGAAGTGACAATCGAGTAAGAAAAACAAAATGCGGTCCAGAGGTCCATGGATGCAAATATGTGGTCCATCTAAAAATAATCGTAATTAATGGTCCAAATGTTTTCTTTATATAATTATTATTTTTGGTTTTCAATTTTTTTTTTTCATATCCATGATCTCCATTTTAAAGATTATATATTCTCAAAAAATTAGGCTCAAATTTTATTTATTGCCAAGCCCGCATTTCTACATGTGCGGGCTTGGCCCCATGCTAACGGTGTCCATTTTAAAAGTTGTGTGCAAGCTTTCACTGATGAAAATAAATAGGGACTTGGTCCTTACTCGAAGCCTTTGTTTGTGATGGTGTACGTTGCACACTAGTTTATAGAAGGGTATTAGTGATTTCCAGGAATTATATATTATAAAAAACGAATTTCGAAACACAACTTCCACATAAAACTGTTTGTTTGGTATAAATCCTTTTGCTCAACAACAAAGGCTACACAAGCAAAGTATATACAGTTGAGGATGTAGTAAGGACGCTTATGCAGTGGGATAGGAATTTACCCAAAAAAAAAAGTGGGGTAGGATGAATCCAGAGGCCCTCTTTTGAGGCAACGTCGTGCTGCATCCCTACGTATCCTTTATCCCCCCCAATAGAGTTTTTCAGTAGCCACCATCAGAAGTTTCATAGCCTACGGTTGTTACGCCATGGTCTAGCTCAGTACCACAATCTCGAGTGAAGACACCCCCAAAGTAGAACTGGAACCGACTCGTGTCAATGGAAACAGAGACAGACGGGCAGGCGGGCGGCCTGGCTGGCTGGCTACGACGGCATGGAGCAGTGCCGTCTCATTGTTTGTATGAACATCCTCATATCCTGTGACTGTAGCAGCGTATTCTTGTTGTTGCACGTGCCATCAGCAGCATGGTAGGAGTATGTAGCCTCAGTGTTAAGGCCGTATTTGCAAATGATGATTTTGAGATTGTAAGGTCGCCCCTCAGCATTCACGGAGTCTCTGAATTTGAGATTTGTCTTGAAATATCTGGAAGCGTTGCTCCCTCTCTTTGGCATCCATGTACTGGCGGCCATGAAGAGCCATCCATTGCTCGAACCTCACCGACATCGACGAGGAGGTTTCCTTTTCTGAGTGGAGAAGGGTAGCCAGAGGCCCATAAGAAACAAGGCCAAGCACAAACAAGAGTGGTGAAGTAACTCTAGTAGCCATTGTGAGAATGGGTTTTTTGCCCTTTTGGAATGCTTAATTAGACAGTGTATTTGCAATGAAGCATTTGCCAATTGTATCAAGGAAACCAACATAATCTTACAAGATATGAAGCTTGAGCAGTAAAATATTACCACAATCTATTGTCATAAACATCCCACTGTTGCAATTTCAAATGAACTGATGCTTCATGGAAGAACTACAATAAAAATCTTGTACCACTTAATCCGAGATCCAGTAATAAAAGATGAATTGCGATGGCCCATTGTAACTTGTAGCATTTTCAAAAAATCATTTTTGCAAGAGGAGTTTGCTCACGTCAGATAAATAATTGGGGTTAGAAATCTTTCCATTAGAGTGGATTGTTAAATATAATGCTAAAATTGTCTTTTTGGGTTGTTTTTTAGTTTATCTCTCATAAATTTAAGTATTAGCTGGCTGTAAAGGGGCGATTTATTTTAAACTGGGATTTTTATACCGACCAATTATATTTGCTATAGGCTATAGGCACTTCTATCCATTAGATGCGAAATTTACAATTTGGAGTGTCATAACTAATAAAGCTCAAAGAAAGAATACATTTCCTGTAAACAGTATTAAAAGTAAAGAGTCTTATTATATGCCTCTCCTGCATTTCACTTAATCAATATGCGTTGAGTGTATTTTACAAGTGCTTGGGTTTCCCCTATGGGTACAAGCTAGTGTTCAGGTGTAACAAAATTAATGTGCATGGTTCACTGTAATGGGGATTCTATCTAATGAAGTGACAATACAGCAGGAAAAACAAAACGCTCTCTTTCCTTACTTTGCTCCTAATATTTAAAAGTTGTTTTGTGCAAGCTTTCACTGATAAAAATAAGTAAGGACTTGATCCTTTCCAACCAAATACTCGAAGAATCATATATTGTAAAGAACAAATTTGGCAAAACACACAACTTCCACATAAAACTATTCATAAATAGGTTCCCTTTTGGTGTCAACAACAAGAGCATATATACACAAGCGCATGAGAGGATGTAGAAGGGTTCTGATGCAGTGGGGTAGGATGCTTGCGTTGCTATACCACAGATGAATCGCCCTCTTTCGAGGCAACGTCGCGCTGCATCCTTACATATCCTTTCTCCCCCCATTCCTCGCCCCACGAGTTTTTCAGTAGCCAATATTTAGTCCCATCATCAGAAGTTCCATAGCCTATGGCAGTTAGGCAATGGTCCGTTTCTGTACCACAATCTCCTGTGAAGACACCACCAGAGTAGAGCTGGAATTCATTCCCAATCGCGTCGATGCAAACAGAGACGAGCTGGCTGGCGGCAGCCTTGAGCAGTGCCGTCTCATTGTTTGTAGGAACATCCCTGTATCCTGTGATTGTAGCAGCATGGGCGGACACATTCTTAGTGTTGCACGTGCCAACAACAGCCTTGTAGGGGTATGTAGCCTCAGTGCTAAGTCCTTGGTTGTTAATGATGAATTTAAATGCATCATTCAGGTAGCCCTAAGTGCATCCCTGATTTCTTCCATGGGTATCACAGTCTACCAGTTCTTGCTCAGATGGAGACACCAACTTGCCAGTTTTTATTTGGGTTTTGCCCTCAATGGCAGCAACAACAGAAAATGCCCAACAACTTCCTATGTCCATGAAGAAGAAAAAGCACTGCAGTCTATAACATTGCCGATTAATTCTTAATTGTAAGGTTCATCTTCTTGGCTAAATTGTTAGAACATGATAGATACACTACAGTGCTAATCTACCCAAGCAAGACAAAATAGAAAGGAAGAGACACTCATTAGCCGAGACTCACCTCGGACTAGCCCCTTGGCCAAGGTGAGTTATTTGGCTGAATCCAACTCAAGTCATTTTGGCCTAAAAAATTTATTAAGAATAAAAAGCTGAAAAAATAGAAATTGTAAAAAGTAAATCGAAACCTAAAACAACTTTTAAAAGTTAAAACAAGTTTAAAAACACAAAGAACAATAGATTTAAAAAAAAAAAAGTATATAATGAGGTGATTTACCTATAGTACAAGGTAGTCACAATTGTTCTTGAGCATTGGACGTAAAATAGGGTGGTTGCATTCAGTTCATTGACCAAGCTCAAAGTTTAAAAGAATTTTTGTCGAACTTTGTGACACACTCAAGCTATTAGATTTCACATCAGATGGTTGTAAGTAATTGTGACTTTCCTGTACAAAAGGATAAATGGTCTCATTGTATATAATCCTTTTTAAAAAACTGATTTACTGTTTAGACATTTGAAAATTCCTAGAAAAAGAGGAAACTATAAAAATAGCGATTATGGCGAGAAAAAAAAAAGAAAAAGAAAGG